GAAGGACTCCCTGGAGAAGAGCCTGATCCTGGGAAAGATGGAGGGCAAGAGAAGAAGGGGACAACAGAGAAGGAGGTGGCTGGACGGAGTCCCTGAAGCAGGAGGCGTGAGCTTCAATGGACTCCAGAAGATGGTAGAGGACAGGAAGGCCTGGAGGAGATCAACCTTGACTACTCTTTAGAAGGCCAGATCCTGAAGTTGAAACTCAAGTACTTTGGCCACCTAATGAGAAGGAAGGACTCCCTGGAGAAGAGCCTAATGCTGGGAAAGATGGAGGGCAAGAGAAGAAGGGGACGACAGAGAAGGAGGTGGCTGGACGGAGTCCCTGAAGCAGGAGGCGTGAGCTTCAATGGACTCCAGAAGATGGTAGAGGACAGGAAGGCCTGGAGGAGATCAACCCCGACTGCTCTTGAGAAGGCCAGATCCTGAAGTGGAAACTCAAGGACTTTTGGCCACCTAATGAGAAGGAAGGACTCCCTGGAGAAGAGCCTGATGCTGGGAAAGATGGAGGGCAAGAGAAGAAGGGGACAATGACAGAGAAGGAGGTGGCTGGATGGAGTCCCTGAAGCAGGAGGTGGGAGCTTCAATGGACTCCAGAAGATGGCGGAGGACAGGAAGGCCTGGAGGAACGTGGTCCGTGGGGTCGCGATGGGTCGGACACGACTTCGCAACTAACAACAACAACAACAAGTTGCAGATAGAAAAGGAGACCATCAAAAATCTTAATTGATTTGTTTATATGAAAGAGAGAGATAATTAGCGAAGGATGCAAACTCAGGAGAGGTTTTGGATGTGGGATCAACTATATTTTAGTAATCCCAAAGGTGCTTTTTCAAGAGGCGACTGGACTTTCCCTTGCATTTCCTTGAAGATGTTTCACTTCTCATCCAAGTTGCTTTTTCCAATTCTGACCGAAGAGCTGAACTGTTCGTCAGAACTGAAGAAGCTTCTGGGATGAGAAGTGAAATGTCTTTAAAGGAAAAAAAAAACAAAGGAAGTCCAGTTGCCTCTTGAAAAAGCACCTTTGGGACAACCATGGACGACTGAGAACCTCCATAGACATATATTTTGGCAGTGTCAAGAAAAGTCTTGGGGGGGGGGGCGAAAAACAGACATGGGAGAAGAACGGAAAGAAACTAGACCGAAAGTAAAATAATAGCAGGGAGGGAAAATATGAATCTTATTCAGAAAAAGCGCTAGAAGGTAGATTAATCATCCCCTGGATGAATAGAAAAGGGGTGTGGAAGCTGAAGTGAAAATAATTGTGTTAGACTTCCACTGAAGAGTTCTTAATGAAGAAAAGGAAAAAAATATGCATCGTGGAACAAAGACACAAAAGGCTGCAGATAAAAAAAAAATGCATGTCAGTGAAGCTTGCTGCAAAAAAAATTAAAAAAAACCCAAGATTAAAAGGAAGTTGTTGTGGAATATATATATATATATATAGAAAAAAAGATAATTGCAAAGGACGGTTAGGATGAAAAGAAGCAGAGGGAAGGCAGGGTGATTTTGAGGGGAATAAATGGCTTAAAAAGGGGTGGGAACTTTAAGGCTGGAATGGAATTAAACATATTAAAAAGGATATGATATGACCAGGGGTTAAACCGAAGTGGAGGAATATATTAGAAAGGTTTGCATTGAAATGATATTGAAGTGTCAAAGAAAAGAATGAAAAGAAAAGTTATCAATATTCTGCCCAAGACAAGCATAGGGGTGAAAAGAATCCATCCATTCTGTGGAGAACGATGAAAAATAGTAAGGCAGCAGGTGTTGGTTGTGTAACTAGCCAAATATTAAACATCTAAATGTGTTCTACGGAGTGGGTGTGTAATATATTTATGGATGATGAATACATCAGGAACATTTGATATTGGAAGTGTGTTGGCCAGGGGTATGAAGGCATGAATATTTTTATGGGGAAATGAGGTGGTCTTGTAGATTGAAAACCCAAATTAACATCTGTGGATAAGAAAGATGAACTTGGTCGTCTGATTATATGATGCAAAAAAAAAAAAAGAGAGAACATTTTGGGATCTGAAAAATAATGTGGCAGAAACCAAGGAAGTATTATTGCATGTGTTATGGAGAATCCATTTAGGAGGGAAAACCAATGTTTGTGAAATTTACGTAGCCCTGATGGCTTAATGAAGTATTCAACCAACGGTTTTTGTTCACTTGGAATCCGAGAGCTGGAAGGAACCTTGGAGGTGTTTGGTCCAACTGCCTACGCGAGCAGAAGTCCTTATACCATCTTGGAGAAATAGTTGTCCAATCTTGGTTTGGACTCCTCCAGCAACAGAGCACCCACAACTCCAGGTGGCAAGCTGTTCCACCGATCAATTGTTCTTACTGTCAGGAAATTTCTCCTTCATTCCAGACTGGATCTCTCTTTAAAGAGCTTCCATCCGTTGCTTCTTCTCCTACTTTCTGGTTCTCTGGAGAATAAATCAACCACCTCTTTCTTGGGACTCTCTTCAAATATTGGAAGACAACTGTCACGTCAGCCCTAATCCTTCTCTTTGTTAGGCTAGCCCAGGGGTCTTCCAACGTGGCCCTTTTATGACTTGTGGACTTCAACTCCCAGAATTCCTCAGCCAGGCACGCGTGCCTGGCTGAGGAATTCTGGGAGTTGAAGTCCACAAGTCATAAAAGGGCCACGTTGGAAGACCCCTGGGCTAGACGCACCTAGCTTCCTCAGCCGTTCATTTATCTCCAGACCCCTGATCATCTTTGTTGCTCTTCTCTGCACTCTTTCCAGAGTCTCAACAACTTTTTTTATCGTGGTGACCAAAACTGGATGCAGGATTCCAAAAGTGTGGCCTTACCAAGGCCTTACAAAGTGGTATTAACACTTGCTGTCTACTAATATAGCAATTTTGAAATGCCACAAAGCAAATAGATCTAAAGCCGCATTAGAAACTAACGAGATATTTCATATGCATTTTCCAGTCAGAATCCATGTGTGCACGTTAAGCTTTACACTATAAAAAGACTTACTGACATTATTGTAATCACTGGAATCCTGCATCCAGTTTTGGTCACCACGATGTAAAAAAGATGCTGAGACTCTGGAAAGAGTACAGAGAAGAGCAACAAAGATGATCAGGGGACTGGAGGCTAAAACATACAAGGAACGGCTGCTGGAATTGGGGATGTCTAGTTTAATGAAGAGAAGGACGAGGGGGGACATGATAGCAGCGTTCCAATATCTCAGGGGCTGCCCCAAAGAAGAATTGGGGGTCAAGCTATTCTCCAAGGCGCCTGAAGCCAGGACAAGAAGCAACGGATGGAAACTCATCAAGGGGAGAAGCAACCTGGAACTAAGGAGAAACTTCCTGACAGTGAGAACAATTAACCAGTGGAACAACCCGCCTCCAGAAGCGGCGAATGCTCCAACACTGGAAGTTTTTAAGAAGAGACTGGACAGCCATTTGTCCGAAATGGTATAGGGTTTCCTGCCTGAGCAGGGGGTTGGACTAGATGACCTCCAAGATCCCTTCCAACTTTATTATTATTATTATTACTGAAAGAATGTCACATGTACTAAATAAGGAATACCACCAACAGTATAAATTATACAACAAGTTAAAATATGAACTCTGAAACCCAAATTCTATAGAAAAGATTGTTGTCTACAATAGGGATGATTTTCAGTTAAAATTAAATTCTGTGTCAGGTTTATTTTATTTTAATTTTTAAAGACATGGAGCCATACTGTCACAATTTAGTTAGCTGTTCTTCACAAGAAGGAATCAAAGGTCTTTTCCAATAGAAAACATATAATTCTTTGCAGCTGTTGACATGTATAATGCCAGTTCAATATATTTGAAAGGGATCTAAGGCCTGGTAAAATATAATAATAATAAAAATAAAGGGGTATTGCCCTGGGATTGTAACTTACAAAATTCATTCCATTTTCCAATATTTTGGGCTTTACTTCACGTTGCCACCACATACGAAATCAAATCCGACCGGCTTCTTATATTTCCAAGAAGTTTAAGAAAAAGAGTTTCATTTTAGCAGCATAGGACTACAGCAAATATGCTGAGGATAAAACATCTTATACCAATTTTCTCTGAATATGACATTCAAAGTAAATGTCATCCCCTTTTTCCACTGAAATTCCCACTGTGCATCTCTCGGTATATTTATATTCTCTGTTTGTTTAATCATGCAATCTGCGACTTATTCAGATTCTTAGTCATACTTCACTAGCATTTATCAACCACGCCGAACCAACGATCAGTATGACAAGATTTTCAGATTCAATCAAACTTCTCCGTGTCCTGCGTTGTTTCTGTAATTCTTTTTATAGTCACACTGCTTATTTGAAGATAGAGAAAGCAGCTGAATCTAGAAAAGCACCACATGGTGAATAGATAGTGGGTCGACTAGATGGGATGGATGGATGGATGAATGGGGAGAGAGAGAAACTTATTCTATGTTCTAAATAGATGATAGAGAGATAGATAGAAGATAGACATGGATCGATGGATGGATATTTGGACAAATGGATAGATGGATGGATGATGTGTATAGATGATGGATGGATGGGTCGATGGATGGATGGATGGATATTTGGACGAATGGATAGATGGATGGATGATGTGTATAGATAGATGATGGATGGATGGGTCGATGGATGGATGGATGGATAAATGATGTGGATAGATAAAGACATGGATGGATGGATAGATAGATGACATGGATAGATGGATGGATGATATGGATAGATAAAGACATAATGGATGGATGGATGAAGGCATGGGTGGATGGATGGATAGATGGAAAGATGGATATATAAAGACATGGTGGATGGATGGATGGATTAATGGATGGATGGATAGATGGATATATAAAGACATGGTGGATGGATGGATGGATGGATGGATGGATGGATGGATGGATGGATGGAGGGCATGTGTTTCAGCTCATCAGCAAGGAAACTTTATTACTGGATCATTGTTTATTCTTTCCTTGTACCTCTTTTTGTTTTGTAGGTCCTGAATGAAGCTGTGGGTGCCCTGATGTATCACACCATCACTTTAACCCGGGAGGACTTGGAGAAATTTAAAGCACTTCGAATAATTGTTCGAATTGGAAGCGGTTTCGATAACATTGATATCAAATCTGCTGGCGACCTAGGTACTCTATCCAGTCGCGTCTTTGAAAGTACTAATCGTCAGCCAAGTTGGGGCGCTCAAGCAGCCAGACCCATCTTGCAATAGTTTGATCTACTGTAGGTGGCCCTCCTTATTTGCAGGGATCCGTTCTGGCTTGCATGGATAACGAAAACACAAGTGTGAAGGGATGGGGGGGTGGGGGGGGTGTTGGCTCCAGGGTCCCAGAAACAAATCTCCTGAAGATCAGCGGGCGAGCACGGCTGATGGAAAAAAATGGATGGCGAGATCACGAGCATATGGGAGCATGAAAGTCCAGCTTGTACTTTTAAATCATATTGCAACCGGATGCTGATTGCACTATAACAGTGTTTCTCAACCTTGACAATTTTAAGGCATGTGGACTTCAACTCCCAGAATTCCACAGCCAGCAACGCTGGCTGTGGAATTCTGGGAGTTGAAGTCCACATGCCTTAAAATTGTCAAGGTTGAGAAACACTGCACTATAAGCATGCAGCCACTTCCCAGAGAATATGCCTCATTTAATTTGGGGGTGATATTTACCCGTATGTAAATGGAACACTGATGACTTTGCAGCAATTTTAATCCTAAACTCTCTCTCTGCTTTCCTGGTGATTATCTGTTTTTAGCATACCAGAAATCTTAACGTTCCTAATAGAATAGCAAAAAGTTTTCCATGCAACCATCCTTGACTTAAAGCCTATTCGTTGAGCCACTGTTCCAAGTTATAATGGCACTGGAGAAAAAGTGATTTACAACCCTTGGGACTATTATTATTATTATTATTATTATTATTATTATTATTATTATTATTATTATTATTATTATTACAGTCATTTGGTCAAAATTCAGGTGCTTGGCAAACTATTTACCACAATCGCGGTGTCCTGGGATCCCCTGGTCACCATTGGCAACCTCCCTAGCCAACTTCTAACCAGCAAAGTCAAAGAGGGAATCAGGACTCATTTAACAATGGTCCCGCTTAGCGACAAATTCTTTTGACCCAATCCTGGTCATAAGCTGAGGACTGCCTGCAGGTCATTTGGGCCGAGTTAACTCTTTCCAACGGCGGCTCGCGATGGCTTGATCGTCCCACCATGAAACCATCTCAGCTCTTCCTTCCTTCCTTCCTTCCTTCCTTCCTTCCTTCCTTCCTTCCTTCCTTCCTTCCTTCCTTCCTTCCTTCCTTCCTTCCTTCCTTCCTCGCTCCAGGGATCGCCGTTTGCAACGTCCCGGCGGCCTCGGTGGAAGAGACGGCCGATTCGACAATGTGCCACATCTTGAACCTCTACAGACGAACCACCTGGCTGCACCAGGCTTTGCGAGAAGGCACCAGAGTGCAGAGCGTGGAACAGATTCGGGAAGTTGCTTCCGGAGCAGCCCGAATCAGAGGAGAGACGCTGGGCATTATTGGGTTAGGTGGGTCAAAATGTCTCGGTAACAACCAAGGGTGCTTTTGTTGTTGTTCAGTTGCTAAGTCGTGCCCGTCTCTTTGCGACCCCGTGGACCACAGCATGTCAGGCCCCCTTTGTCCTCCAGGGTCTCCTGCCCAATTTCACGTTCATCGTGTTGATGGCACCATCTAACCATCTCCTCCTCTGCCGTCCCCTTCTCCTTTGGCCTTCCATCTTTCCCAACATTGGGGTCTTCTCCAACATGTTTGTTTGTTTGTTTGTTTGTTTGTTTGTTTGTTTGTTTGTTTATTTGTTTGTTTATTTATTTATTTATTTATTTATTTATTTATTTATTTATTTATTTATTAAATTTATATCCCGCCCTTCTCCTTGTGGACTCAGGGCGGCTGACAATCAATTAAAAATACATAAATAACAGTTACAGAATTAAAATTAATTAAGAAGAAATATTTAAATATAGTCAAATTAAAATATGATTAAAACCCCTCTAAAAATTGCCCTAGGCCAGTCCCGCTTGTTGGAATAGCCATGTCTTAAGGGCGCGGCGGAAGGAAGGGAGATCAGGAATCACCCTGATCTCTGGGGGCAGCTCATTCTCATGTTCATTCTCATGCTCATTCTCATGTTCTCTCTTCTTATCTGGTGGCCGAAGTATTTGAGCTTCAGCTTCGGTCTCCGTCCTTCCAAAGGACAGTCAGGGTTGGTTTCCTTCAGGGTTGACCCATTGGACCTCCTTGCAGTCCAGGGGACCCTTCAGAACCTTCTCCAGCACCACAATTTGAAAGCACAAATTCTTCGGCGCTCGGCCTTCCTCGTGGTCCAGCTCTCTCAGCCATACATGGTTGTGGTTCAGTTGCTGGGCCAGGCCTGACTCTACACAACCCCGTGGACCACAGCATGGCAGACCCCCTTGACCTCCGCTGTCTCCTGGAGTTTGCCCAATTTCACGTTCATTGTGTTGATGACACCATCTAACCATCTCCTCCACCGCTGCCCTCCTTCTCCTTCGGCCTTCCATTTTTCCCAACATCTGGGTCTTCTCCAACATGTTCTCTCTTCTTATCTGGTGGCCAAAGTATTTGAGCTTCAGCTTCGGCCTCTGTCCTTCCAAAGGACGGTCAGGGTTGGTTTCCTTCAAGGTTGACTGATTTGATCAACCGGCTGGAGTATTCTGAGAATTGGAAGTCCACACATCCTAAGGTTGTCCAGGTTGAGAAACACTGCTCTAAATAGCAATGGCACTTAGACTTATATCCCGCTTCACAGGGCTTTACAGCCCCCTCTAAGGGGTTTATACAGTCAGCCTCTTGTTCCCAGCAATCCGGGTCCTCCTTTTACCGACCCGGGAAGGACGGAAGGCTGAGTCAACCTTGAGCCAGTCAGGATCGAACTCCTGGCAGTGGGCAAAGTCAACCTGCAATGCTGCATTCTGACCACTGCGCCACCCCGTACAGTTTAGCACCCCATACAATCCAGATTATATAATAATAGCAGCAACAACAACAACAATAATAGAATTGGAAGGGACCTTGGAGGTCTTCTAGTCCAACCCCCTGCTCAGGCAGGAGACCCCATACCACTTCAGGCAAATGGCTGTCCAGTCTCTTCTTAAAAACTATATCCAAAAGGGGAGAGTAGCGCTCCGTTCATGATCTGAAAACCGCCTCCCTTGCAGGACGAGTGGGCCAAGCCGTCGCGCTGCGTGCCAAAGCCTTTGGCTTCAACGTCATTTTCTACGACCCGTACCTCTCGGACGGCATTGAGCGGGCTCTCGGCCTCCAGCGGGTGAGCACCCTGCAAGACCTGTTGTTTCACAGTGATTGCGTCACCCTGCACTGCAGCCTCAACGAGCACAACCATCACCTGATCAACGACTTCACCATTAAACAGGTAAGGACGGAGCCAAGTGGGCCGTGAGGATGGTAACTCTTTTGTGTTGCAGTTCTGAGCGTCTGGGAGACGTTAACCGGGAGCCGTTGCTGGCAGGAGCCTGGGCGACGCAGGCGGGTCTGGCTGCGGTGCCCCCTTTATTGAAGCTGTGTTACCAATAAAGGAGAATATTTGTAGCTGAGGGTTCAAAATGAGGGGTCCTGGGTGCTCTCTGAGCTTGGTTGTTTGCTGGCAGACCTTTCCTTACCCAACTAGGTAACCTCATCAGTGCTAGAAGGGGATTAAGGTGAGGAGGAGGAGGAGGAGGAGGAGGACAATAATGGGGTCCTGGGTGCTCACTGAGCTTTTCTTGCAGATATTTCATTACCCAACTAGGTAACATCATCAGTGCTAGAAGGGGTTTGAGAAGGAGGAAGAGGAGGAGGAGAAGGAGAAGGAAGAAGAAGGGAGGGAGGAGGAGAAGGAGAAGAAGGAGGAGGAGGAGGAGGAGGAGGACAATAATGGGGTCCTTGATGCTCACTGAGCTTTTCTTGCAGATGTTTCATTACCCAACTAGGTAACATCATCAGTGCTAGAAGGGGTTTGAGGAGGAGGAAGAGGAGGAGGAGGAGCAGGAGGAGGAGGAGAAGAAGAAGGAGAAGGAGAAGGAAGAAGAAGGGAGGGAGGGAGGAGGAGGAGGAGGAGGACAATAATGGGGTCCTTGATGCTCACTGAGCTTTTCTTGCAGACGTTTCATTACCCAACTAAGTAACGTCATCAGTGCTAGAAGGGAGTGGGGTTTGCTCTCTATTTACACATGGAGACTAGGATTCCCTACTAGCATGGATGATGTTACCTAGTTTGGGTAATGAGACGTCTGCAAGAAAACAGCCATGCAGCTGTACTATTATGGTCTGCACGAGCAGCTGGAGGCATTCGGCTGTGCAAATGCGCTACATTCCTGCTCAGCTCGGTGTGTCACATGCAGTTGATTTGCCAGCAGGTGAGCTTGGAGGAAAGGACCCCCCTCAAGGCCACCACCTCTCGCGTATGGATCCTGATCGACTTGTGCGGTTACAAGTTAATAAGGCTGAAACCCCACCAGGAAGTATTTGGTTGTGGGTGAGGGACTGGCGCCCCCTAGTGTTCCAAGGGAATAATTAGAACTCTCTGGTTTTCTTCTCCACCAGTCGCTTTCCGTACAATTTTATACAGAGAAAGACCAGTGGAGGAGAACAACACAAGAGAAGCTTCAGCAACGACTAGAATATTTTAATTTCCCTAGAATATTTTGTACGGCTGGTCCTCACTCCACGACCTCTTGTTCAGCGACTGCTCGGAGTTACGACGGGGGCTGAACGAGGAGACTTACAGCTGGTCCTTGAAGATAATAACAATAACAATAACAATAACTATTATTATTATTATTATTATTATTATTATTATTATTATTATTATTATTATTATTATTATTATTATTATTGTTAGAGTTGGAAAGGATCTTGGAGGTCATCTAGTCCAACCCCCTGCTCAGGCAGGAAACCCTATACCATTTCAGACAAATGGCTGTCCAGTCTCTTCTTAAGAACTTCCAGTGTTGGAGAAAGGAGGGAGGGAAGAAAGGAAAGAAGGAAGGAAGGAAGGGAGGAAGAAGGAGAGAAAAAAAAAGAATAACAATAACAGACTCGGTAGGGACCTTGGAGGTCATCTAGTCCAACCCCCTGCTCAGGCAGGAAACCTATACCATTTCAGACAAATGGCTGTCCAGTCTCTTCTTAAAAACTTCCAGTGTTGAAGCATTCGCAACTTCTGGAGGCAGGTGGTTCCACTGGTTAAATTGTTCTCATTCTCTTCTCTTCTCTTCTCTTCTCTTCTCTTCTCTTCTCTTCTCTTCTCTTCTCTCCTCTCCTCTCCTCTCCTCTCCTCTCCTCTCCTCTCCTCTCCTCTCCTCTCCTCTTGTATAATAATAATAATAATAATAAAGTTGGAAGGGACCTCTAGGACTGACCGGTTGGATCGCCTTGCAGTCCAGGGGACTCGCAGGAGTCTTCTCCAGCACCAGAGTTCAAAGGCCTCCATTCTTTGTCACTCAGCCTTTCTTATGGTCCAACTTTCACAGCCATACATTGCAACTGGGAAAACCATGGCCTTGACTATACGCACTTTTGTTGGAAGGGCGATGTCTCTGCACCATCCCGAGTGCAATTTGCCTTCATTCCTCCAGGAACGAACTCAAAGTTTTGTGGCCTGCGGTGGCTCTAATTCCTCCCTCTCCTTTTGAGACAGGTTGCAGAAACTCCTTGCCTTTGAACCCTACTGGTTTTAAAATTAGATTCCGAACCCCCGGGGTACAGGACCCTTCTCAAAAGCAAGGGTAAAGCTGCTCGGGGCCTGTGGAATAGGAAACAAATACATTTCGGTGAATTTTAACCGGCTGCCTCGTTGCTACAGGATTGANAGAAGGAGGAGGAGGAGGAGGAGGAGGAGGAGGAGGACAATAATGGGGTCCTTGGTGCTCACTGAGCTTTTCTTGCAGATGTTTCATTACCCAACTAGGTAACATCATCAGTGCTAGAAGGGGTTTGAGGAGGAGGAAGAGGAGGAGGAGAAGGAGAAGGAAGAAGAAGGGAGGGAGGAGGAGAAGGAGAAGAAGAAGGAGGAGGAGGAGGAGGACAATAATGGGGTCCTTGATGCTCACTGAGCTTTTCTTGCAGATGTTTCATTACCCAACTAGGTAACATCATCAGTGCTAGAAGGGGTTTGATGAGGAGGAAGAGGAGGAGGAGAAGGAGAAGGAAGAAGAAGGGAGGGAGGAGGAGAAGGAGAAAAAGGAGGAGGAGGAGGAGGAGAACAATAATGGGGTCCTTGATGCTCACTGAGCTTTTCTTGCAGACGTTTCACTACCCTACTAAGTAATGTCATCAGTGCTAGAAGGGAGGGGGGTTTGCTCTATTTACACATGGAGACTAGGATTCCCTACTAGCATGGATGATGTTACCTAGTTTGGGTAATGAGACGTCTGCAAGAAAACAGCCATGCAGCTGTATTATTATGGTCTGCACGAGCAGCTGGAGGCATTCGGCTGTGCAAATTCCTGCTACACTCCTGCTCACCTCGGTGTGTCACATGCAGTTGATGTGCCAGCAGGTGAGTTTGGGGGAAAGGACCCCCCTCAAGGCCACTACCTCTCGCGTATGGATCCTGATCGACTTGTGCGGTTACAAGTTAATAAGGCTGAAACCCCACCAGGAAGTATTTGGTTGTGGGTGAGGGACTGGCGCCCCCTAGTGCTCCAAGGGAATAATTAGAACTCTCTGGTTTTCTTCTCCACCAGTCGCTTTCCGTACAATTTTATACAGAGAAAGACCAGTGGAGGAGAACAACACAAGAGAAGCTTCAGCAACGACTAGAATATTTTAATTTCCCTAGAATATTTTGTACGGCTGGTCCTCACTCCACGACCTCTTGTTCAGCGACTGCTCGGAGTTACGACGGGGGCTGAACGAGGAGACTTACAGCTGGTCCTTGAAAATAATAACAACAACAATAACAATAACAATTATTATTATTATTATTATTATTATTATTATTATTATTATTATTATTATTATTATTAGAGTTGGAAAGGACCTTGGAGGTCATCTAGTCCAACCCCCTGCTCAGGCAGGAAACCCTATACCATTTCAGACAAGTGGCTGTCCAGTCTCTTCTTAAAAACTTCCAGTGTTGGAGAAAGGGAGGGAGGGAAGGAAGGGAGGAAGGAAGGAGAGAGGGAGGAAAGGAAGGAAGGAAGGAAAGAAAAAAAAGAATAACAGAATAACAGACTCGGTAGGGACCTTGGAGGTCATCTAGTCCAACCCCCTGCTCAGGCAGGAAACCCTACACCATTTCAGACAAATGGCTGTCCAGTCTCTTCTTAAAAGCTTCCAGTGTTGGAGCATTCACCACTTCTGGAGGCAGGTGGTTCCACTGGTTAAATTGTTCTCACTGTCTTCTCTTCTCTTCTCTTCTCTTCTCTTCTCTTCTCTTCTCTTCTCTTCTCTTCTCTTCTCTTCTCTTCTATAATAATAATAAAGTTGGAAGGGACCTTGGAGGTCATCTAGTCCAACCCCCTGCTCAGGCAGGAAACCCTACACCATTTCAGACAAATGGCTGTCCAGTCTCTTCTTAAAAACTTCCAGTGTTGGAGCATTCACCACTTCTGGAGGCAGGTTGTTCCACTGGTTAAGGTTACCACCTCGCAGTGGTGTGATTCATGCATCCAGCAAGGGTCTCGCAGTTACGACCACCGCAGCATCCTGTGGTCCCATTGGTGACCTCCGCTGCTGTCTTCCCACACAAACTCCCTGGGGAAGCCGGCGAGAAGTTGCAAATGGTGATCCCACTGAAGAACGTCATAGGCTTTGCTTAGCAACCGCTGTCGTAGGTTGCCATGGTTACATGTCACTGCGCTTTAGGACTGTGTTGGTTAGCGACAGTTGCTGGTCCCAAAGCTGTTGTTAAGCGAGGACTAGCTGCAATCATTCGTTTACACTTCATTTGTAGGAATGGACCTTGGTGTTGTTGTTTTTTTTATCCTTACCTGCAAAGTAAAATCAAAGATCTTGCAGAGTTTTGCTACTACACAGAGGTTACTCTGAATTTGCTTATCAAACTGCACTGCACCATTAACAAAAGGATCTGATGGTTCAGGATGTTTTAGCCAAAATTTTTAAGGATCTGCGGCTTCGGCCTGATTTTGTCCGAGAATTCAGCTTGCCCTCCACACCATGTTGTTGTTGTTAGTTGCGAAGTCGTGTCCGACCCATCGCGACCCCATGGACCACGTTCCTCCAGGCCTTCCTGTCCTCTGCCATCTTCTGGAGTCCATTGAAGCTCCCGCCTCCTGCTTCAGTGACTCCCTCCAGCCACCTCCTTCTCTGTCGTCCCCTTCTTCTCTTGCCCTCCATCTTTCCCAGCATCAGGCTCTTCTCCAGGGAGTCCTTCCTTCTTCTCATTAGGTGGCCAAAGGACTTGAGTTTCAACTTCAGGATCTGGCCTTCTCAAGAGCAGTCGGGGTTGATCTCCTCCAGGACCGACCGGTTGGATCGCCTTGCAGTCCAGGGGACTCGCAGGAGTCTTCTCCAGCACCAGAGTTCAAAGGCCTCCATTCTTTGTTGCTCAGCCTTTCTTATGGTCCAACTTTCACAGCCATACATTGCAACTGGGAAAACCATGGCCTTGACTATACGCACTTTTGTTGGAAGGGCGATGTCTCTGCACCATCCCGAGTGCAATTTGCCTTCATTCCTCCAGGAACGAACTCAAAGTTTTGTGGCCTGCGGTGGCGCTAATTCCTCCCTCTCCTTTTGAGACAGGTTGCAGAAACTCCTTGCCTTTGAACCCTACTGGTTTTAAAATTAGATTCCGAACCCCCGGGGTACAGGACCCTTCTCAAAAGCAAGGGTAAAGCTGCTCGGGGCCTGTGGAATAGGAAACAAATACATTTCGGTGAATTTTAACCGGCTGCCTCGTTGCTACAGGATTGA